ATTTGTCTTCTCACAGGGACATGGGTATTTATTTCTTTTAACAAGCATGTGTGATTTTTACAGCCTGGTATCTGATTATGTGTTACACTTAGAAAAATATCTTTTCATGGGGCTGTAAAATTGTGCTCAGTAACTTTTTGGTTTTATTTTATTAATGGTAGTATAAGAGATTTTATACTTGTGGATGTGGCAACTTTTAACTGAAGCTTAATATGTTCACATTTAATACTTTGGTGTTTTTTTCTAATGTGTGTCAGAATGCTGCTTATATATTCAGATGTGATCATGCAAAAATCTATAAAAGGAATCGTGTTATACGACATAGGATCGTCTTTCATAGAATCAATCATAGAAAGGCTTGAGTTGAAAGGAGCTTTAAAGATCATCTGGTTCCAGTCCCCTTGCAAGGGACGGAGTTGCTACCTGCTATATCAGGCTGTTCAGTGCCCCATCCAATCTGACTTTGACTGCCTCCAGGGATGGTACAGTTTCTCTGGGCAGCCTGTTCCAGTGCCTCATCACCCTCTGAGTAAAAAATTTATTTCTAATATATAATCTAAATTCTCCACTCTTTTAGTTTAAAACTGTTCCCACTTGTCCTGTCACTGTCAAACCATGAAGCAGTTGATCTCCTGCTTATAAACTTCCTTTAAATACTGAAAGGCTGAAATGAGGTCTCCCTGGAGCCTTCTCTTCTCTAGGCTGAAGCCCTTCTCTTGTCTCTAGACAAGCCCAGCTCCCTCAGCCTTTTTTCATAGGAAAGGTGCTCCAGCCCTCTAAAAATCTCTGTGGCCCTTCTCTGGACCTGCTCCAAGAGCTTCACATCCTTCTACTAGGGGTCTCGGGCCTGGATTCAGTACTCCAGATGGGGCCTTAAGAGGGGGTAGAGTGGGGGAGAATAATTGCTTCCCTCTTGCTTCTGGCCACCCCTGGCTGTTGATGCAGCCAGGATATGGTTGGTCTTCTTGGCTGCAGGTGCACATTGTTGGCTTCTGTCAAGCTTTTCATCCATCAGGACCCCCAAGTCCTTCTCTACATGGCTGCTCCCAGTCTGTAACTATATATCTGGAATTGCCACAACCCAAGTGCAGCACCTCTCAGATTCATGTGGGTCCACTTTTCAAGCTTGTCCAAGCCTGCTAGGGTCGCATCCCATTTTTCTGTTGTATCAACCATAGCAGTCAACTTAGTGTCTTCAGCAAACTTGCTGAAGGTGCACTCAATCCCACTATTCACACCATTGGTAAAGATACTGAAGAGCATCAGTCCCAAGATAAACCCCTGGAAGACACCTCTTGTCACCAGCCTCCAGCAGGATTTAGAGCAATTGATAACAACACCTGAGGGGTGACCACTTAACAAATTCCTTATCCACTGAATAGTCCACTCTTCATATCTTTCCAATTCAGAGATATCTAGATAGATCATTTTTGCCTTTTTGAAAATAATTAGTTGTAGCAGATAGACTTTAATGATGACAAGATTTGAATTTTCTTTATATATATTGCATATATAAATCTACATAAATATGTAAATATATTTACATATTTTCATCTATGTATACTGTTACTTAATTGAAAAATTAGTGTTATTGCATAGCAATCTATAGTTTAAAAGAGGCTAAAGTAAGACTTAGATTCCTACTAAAAATGAATATGAAACTCAAAAAAGTGCAATCAAAAGAACTATAAAGTCATTGGCATGTATTCTCTGTGTATATCTTCAGCATTTCATTATCATTCACTGTCTCCTAGCTTTTACGTTTGTTCTGACACTGATTTTTATTTTTTTTTTTTCTTGTTTGTGTGTTATTCTGTGTGATTAGGTGCACTTAGGTGCATTTTTAGACAGTGATCATTTCAGTGGAAATATACCTAGGAATCTGTCACACATGGTACTTGTGTTTGGATTTCACTTTATGCCCTTTTCCACAACTTATGACCTTTCATGCAGGCTATTTTTCTATCTCTGATCCCCAGAGCTTTGTCCCCATAAGAATTTTGAAGTTTTATACCTTCAGATCTCCACCAAAGAATAGCAAGGGAGACGGAAACAATTCTTGGATAAAATGTCACAGACATAATCTAGTTCCAGAGCAGAACTCTAATTTTTGTTTAGTTTTTGAGTGTATATTACTGAATATCATCCTCTTCCTCTATTTCTGCTGAAGCAAATGCTGAATCTATTACTATCATAGTTGCTAATTAAAAAGCATTACTACAGGTCTGCCTGTATCTGATAACTGATGGAAGCTTTGCATTCTGAGCTAAAAGCAAATTGCAACCACAAGTGGATATGGTATTGATGCAAACTATTATTTACAGTCACCCTCTGTTGAATCTCTGAAATTGGTTGAAGAGCAGTTGTACTGTGTATGTTCTCTAAAAATACTACGTATTTATTAATGTACGTGTAGAATATGGCAATGTTTTTCCTGGGAAGTCTGATTTGCAAGCACTGAAGGCAATGGAGAGAATAATTAACCATTCTTTCAACCATGTATTCTGTGTATATGTTTGTGCATATGCATATACATACACACACAAAACCTTTTTCTGTTAGCTATATTTTAAATATTGGTAGATTAAAAATTGTTTCAGGCTAAGAATATCAAGAATATAGGGGGAAGAAAAGTAAATTTGGTAAGAAGTTATTTCTAAGGCAGCCTCCTGATTCATAGTAATTGTTTTTATGGCTGAAAAGCAAACTTTTGGCAATCCCAAGGTAAAAGATTGTCAACAAAGGAAAACTTTTAATGTATTAAAGGCCAATGCTTTTTAATGTGCTATGTAAAATTATAATGCCTTCAGTTTCACTCCAGGACAGAAAGCAGAATCACATATGTTAACTGTACTAAGAAAGTTTCTCTTTGAGCATTGGAGATTTTTAACTTTAGAAAGGTATGGAGGGATCTTCTAGATCTTGATTTCTCTGTATGAAACATCATACAGAATACTTTGCACTGGATCCCTATTGAGAGTGGTGGAATCACACTTTTCATTACTACTTACGGTAGTTGCAAGATAATGACTCAAGAAGAGCCACTGATACAGGTTGGGAAGCTTTGGTGAATTTCATATTGTTCTTTGCCCAACAGACATCAGGACAAATATTTATCAGGAAAAAAAAACTGAGGGTTAAACAGAACTAAAGAGAAATTCAAGCATTTTAAAACTTTTCTTCTGGGCATTGTTCCAGTTTTTTGATTTTCATATGTCTACCGAAATTAAATGACATTGTAAACCTACCAATCTTTTTCTATCCATTATTTAATTCTTAACTCCTGACTGGAGAATTATTAACATTAATTATTAACATTAATAACATGAAATACTAGTCCTACAGTTTTAGCAGACTAGTAAATTGAAAAGATGTCTAAGAACTCTTATTATTAACCTTACTGAAATAATTTCAGCTAAAAATTGCAAAATACATGTTAATATTACAGTGCTGCTACTGGAGCTACCCAGTGATTAATAAGAATATTCAATATAATGCCAGTTAAAATAAGATGTAGAAAGAGATCTAATACTAAGTGGGTTTATCTCTACATTTATATATATATAATATTCTAGAGAAAAAAGAATCCTATCATTTCTGTTTTGTTCCATAATTGATTAGTATAACAGTGCAGAGATATACAGAGCAATTCAATTTTAGCAATGGTAAATTCTGTTAATTTGAATTAGCTAACCAGTTAGTAAATGCAGAGATCTGACCAAAATTAATAAAAGCTGTTTAATTTAAAAATTGAAATGAATTTCAGTGATTTTTACTTATTATCTATAATGAGTGATTTTAGAACAGATAGATTAATGAATGTCGTAGAGGACAAATTAAAAACACAGCAACTTTGTTCATGAAAGTTTATGTTCTTTCTTGAATGTACAATAGGCAGTAGAGTATTTACTTGGTGTAAGTTGCTGCTTCTTTAAGTTTTGGTATCATGATGCTGAAACTAAATTGTAGAAACATTGGCTGTTTCTTCTTGGCATTATTATGCAGCTTCGTTTTTATCTTCAGCTTTTTACTAGTTTAGGAGGCATGAGGTGAATGTGTATAAATGCAGAATTCACGTCCTATTTTTAAGGGAGGTATATTTTCACTTGTGGATTGCCTTGTTATGTTTTTCTTTCCCATCACAATAAAGATGTTTATCAAGGGCCCCAGGAGTTCATTCCTTCATAGAGGTAGCATGGTATCTTGGTAAAAATTCATTCTATGAACATGCCATCTGCCCATATATGTAAAACAATGCTTTAGTTCTTCTGATGCAAAATGTTTGAGCATTATTGACAGATTTCTCTTTAATCATAATTATGAGGTAGAATTTTTTGTTCAATTGTAAGTTAAACTTCTATTTCAAATTAATCTAAACCGTGCCTAATATCTTTGCCTAAGTCTCTACATGTAAATGGCCATCAATCACAAAGTTGTCACTTAAGTTTTTTAGCAATTCTTTCTGAGTTTGCCAAGGAAACTGGAAAAACAGTTCCTTAGTTGCTTAAATAATATAAATATTTTGTATTCAAAGTGATTCATGTATCAATGACCAGCTACATCATGATCATTAGATTATCTCCTCATGGAATAGGTAATGGACTACTTATACAATAGAGCATAGTGTCAGGGAAGATTGGAGACCAGTGTCAAGAGGCAGCTAATTCACTAACATTATGAAATCCCAAGTTTTCTAGCATGAGTCATGAGGTCTTAGTACAGGTGTGAAACGTAATGACCACAGCATTTTCACTAGATATTTAAAAATGTGCTAGCTGTCTGTTCTTACAATGAAATGACGAATAGTTCTATAAACACTAAAATAAAGTATCTGACCATTATTGCATAAATAGCTGGCATTCTATCTATGTTTTTGCACTTCCCCTTCATTGAGGGAAGAATGTCTTTTGTCATTTTGGAAATAAAGAATCCATTTTCTTTAACTGTAGACTAATTTTGTTTTGTTGTCCTAAATCTTTTATTTTTCTGATTTACTACAGCCCAGAGACAATGTGGAGAAACAGTCTACAAATGTGTACTTTCAGTCTTACCATGGGATGTGGGGTAAGCATACATTCCAACTTAGTACAGGTATGAAACGTAATTGTCAACGGTTTACGGGCTTGTTCGGCCTGGTTCTGTGACCAGTGGGGTGGAGGGATCCGCGGATCTGCTCCTCTGGAAAAGGGAAAAAGGGGACCCCAAAATAATTGAAAACAGCAGCAACGATCTGAGGAGAAACAAACTAATTTACTAAATATGGTATTGGGATGCAAGATAACACACCATAATACAATATAATTAGAATTGAAGCTAATAAATCAAATATAATGAGGGAGAGAATGTCCGAAAGGTGGATAGGTCTCACCATAAAGCTGAGGTGAGATGCGCAGTCCAGTTGAGCAGCCAAAAGATGGAGGAGAGCCAATGAAGAACAGCAGACGAAAAAGAGCGCATCAGGTGACCTTGCCAGTTCTATCTCCTCTCCGTGACTGCAGAGTTCTCTGGGGAATGTAGTTCTTCTCTTCTAGGCAGGTACCCAGGACTTGAGCATTAACAGTTAAACTCCCAGTGCCCCACATGATGTTATGATGTGGAACACCGAAAACCAAAAATCATAAAACCATGGCAGTAATGACCACTTCAGCTTTTGATTTGAAAGCCATGAGCTTTGTTCTAGCTCAGTTCTTAATTAACTGTGTGTGTTGAGGTTAGTTGTCTCAAATTTCATTCATAGGCTCTAATTCAATGAAAAAGCATACTTGGTATCACTGCATCTGGGGCTGGTTCCCTTACACTTTTATTACTGAACTCTACCTGTTTTGTTTGTTTTTTTTTCAATGAGAATAGTATTTATATAAAATAGGAACAATAATTTGATTTTCCTGTGAAGAAACTTCTGTGTGGTAAGGATAGGTAATAACCAATTAAGAGATGGAAAGATGTTTTTTGTTTGTTTGTTTGTTTGTTTGTTTGTTTTGTGACCTTGAATTATATCTTGGATTTAATACAACTAAAGAAGAAGGCAGGATTTGGGTTGTGGAAAAAGGAATTGACAGGAATTCAGCAGGAGTCTTAGATATCTTCTTCTGTACCCATCTAGCCTGAAATCATTCCATTAATATTTCACTCTGTTAGGAGTTAATTCAGAGTTCTACGAAGCCATGTTCTGTATTAAAAAAATTATATTTTTAAAAAGTTTTCCAGAATGAGAATAAGAAAATATTATCCCAGAAATGTGCCAAGGCAGAGCAGTTTTGCATTTTTTACTGTGTAAAATACTGACTGTATGAACTGTAACTTGCTGCATTGCTCTAGTTTGCACAGCTCATATCTGAGATGTTTTCTCAATTTAAAATAAATCTGTAATAGATTTTGTCTTTTTTGAGAATTCTATAGTCCAGTCATTTTTCCTTAATGAGCTCAAAAAGTACTCTCTTCTTTTAAATTTCATTTTTTCTAGTTATGTCTATTTTCCAACTTTGTTCATAAAAGCTAGCTATAACTGGTACAAGATCAAATCACTCTTTTTTTTTTAACTTTGGATGTTGTTATGAACTTTTGTATTTCCATTAAATGAGTATTTTCTTCAGTAAGTGCCATTTAGCTATTCCAGTAATTAATAAAATCAAGAATGCTTCCTACTGTGAGTCTTGCCTACATACTTTTAAGTCTATGTATCGTAGGTGAGGATATGCTTGTAAAGTCTGACAATTAATTAAGTTGTTTTGATCTTTTATTCTCCTGTTTACACATATTATTATACCTATGAAGTCTAATTTGTTTGATGTATGTTGATGTGTTTTCTTATAATATAACAAGGATTTGTTTCTTTTGTTCTGGAGTTATTGTGTTACTGTGATCACAAGATTCCCTGAGCTTAATTGTATGTTATACAAGAAAAATATCTTTCACGACCCAAGTTTACAATACTTATTATTTTCCATGTACAGTAAATGTCATTAGTTTGAATATGTACATTGATTTCCTTTTTAATGGTTACTGTTGATATAATTGGACTAAGTTCAAAGCTTAGAGGAAACATATTTAAAAGCAACAAAGAGTGAGCCCTAATTTTTACTGTTTATGATCATTAACAATGATTTTGCCCACTTCACGAAGAGCTTGTGGTCATTTGAAATAAATATTCATATTCTTCTCTAAATTAATCTGCTTCTTTCCTACAAAGAAATTTCATACATTGACTGCGATTGAAATTTTAATCTCCTGATTGTTTTGGAGTTCTGTTTTACACTTCCCTAGACTAGGCCTGATTCCTCCCTGCTAGATCCTAGTGAGCCCATTTAGAGTGAATGACAGCAACCAATGTAAAGATCTTATTCTAACAGAGCTTAGTCACTGAAGGCGACTACAGAAAGAAATTCTCTTATGAAATAGGATTACTTGAAGAAATATATTTTTTCCATTAGGCAGTGATTCCACTGAATTTAAAAGTAAGTTCTCACTTTAGTTATTAAAAATCATTAGATACCTTGCAGCATACCTTGTAAGATTGAGCCTTCTTTTGACTCACTTTGAGCAAAGTCTATGCAGTAGGCTAAGAAAGAAAGCACAGCAACAACTTGTACTTCATCCTGTGGTAGATAATATGAATATAAACAAATGGCTTGAGAATTGTTTATGGCTTGACCAGCGTTATCTTGCTAGCTATTTTCCTTATAGATTCAACGTTATGTGTCTAAAAATTTCTCAGCAGTACAACAATGATTTGGATTTCAGCTCCCAAAACTGATGGGAAAGGCAAGTGATCTGAAATGCCTACAAACTTCAAGTCAAAGGCCTGATGTTCTATCTAGCCTTCATTAAGTCTGTTTCTTTCACAATGTCTTGGCTTTACAACCAAAAGATTTTTTTTCTTCTACTGTTGCAGATAGCATCTGATGTCACTCAGTATGCTATTGTATCTTTTTACAACTGTTTTGTGTGTGTTACTTAGTGATGCAATATGAGGAAATGTCATAATGTATTACATAATGTTATTATTTTAGATAGAATCAAATTTCTTCTGATCCCAGTACATGCTAAGTGTGCTTCAAAAGTAACTTCGGAGAATGTGTTTGAATATATTTTTTTTAATAGTATGTTTTAAATGGTAAATCTTCTCTGTGGTATGCGATATTTATTTACATAATCTGGAGAATGAATGGTTTGGAAAGGTTATCCAGCTTTTCAGAGTGAACATCTCCAGGATCTCTGACAATGTGTCCTGTGTATGTGCAGCATTGCTGTTGATTACCTTCTGATCATGTTGTCCTTTATACTTCAAACAATTTTCATAGCATAGACAGGAGATATTTTTCCATTATTTAGATCATATCTAGTGCTAAAAATGACTATCTTCTTGCTAACTTGATTATCACAAGTATCCTTATTAATTTCTATTAATATGAGGGATTATCTGAAAGTAATGCCTCCTATTTTATGTCAGTCCACGACACTGAGGACAGATGTTTGTAGTACAGCAGAAGAAGTTAAACCTTCCCACCAATATTTTGTTACATGTTGTGGCCATTTGACAGACGGTAGTAGAGAGGCAGCCTGACAGAATAACATCTGATGTGAAACCACGTGTAAAGCCAAGGGGTGTCACTGAATTCCTCCATGTGGAAAAAAAAATGGGGCTCGTTGACATTCATTGATGCTTACTGAACTTTTATAGAGACCAAATAGTAGCTGTGAGCACAGTGAGGCAGTTGGTGGTGCGTCTCAGCAGTGACAACGGTGACAGTTGGTACCTGCGCTGGTGCAGATTTTTACGTGCAGGTCATACAGGCTGTTGTTCATACTTGTGAGAATACATAGCTAATGGTGGTGACTATGTATTCAAATGGTGTTTTGTAGCTGAGAATTTGCTCCATAAATGTTATTGTGCGCTTTGTGGCTTTCCCTGGAAATAAATAGGAGGCATTACTTTTGGAATGACCCAGTATTGTTATGCAGGCATACCATGAATCAAGACTTTCCTGGAATTGGACATGCCAATGCCTTATATATATGTTATCTTGTTCCCTTCTGTGTAGAAGTCAACAAAAACACTGTAAATTCTCAATGAAAATCTTTTTTAAGAGGCAGTAATAAGGAATAAAGATCTATAGAGGCAGATGGCTATTTCTAAGCATTATCTACCATGTTTCAAATATAGAATAGAAAAAGATATAGGGTCTCTCAATAGAAATATATTTGCCTTGGTTGTATCTATTAATAAAGTTTTGTACCATTTGCTTGGCAAACAATGATTATCCTTTTAATACTGAGAAAGGAATTAATAATCTAGAAAACTGATCATTGTAATTATCTGGAAAAAAAAAAAAAAAGAAAGAAAGAATAGCATAAGACTTGTCAACAAAAATACAGTCACAAGTTAATCTTCCAATGCAGAAAATATGATCTAATTGATGTCACAAAAGCTAAATTCCAAGGCAATGAGAGATGATTAGATTGGCAATTTTTCATAGTAGAGAAACAACTTGTTGTTGTAGAGCTAAATATAAATGAAAAATTGACCTAGAAATTGATCCTGTATGTATAAATTCATTGTGTAAGTGTTCAGAAACTTGGTTCATTAGTTGTAAGGAAGTAAAGATCAGTTTAGCTTTACGTAGTTAAATAACTGGAATTCATTTTCAAGTATGCGAAGCTGCGCACTGATACTTCATTAATGTTTAAAATCCATACAATGGATTGGGCAATGTTTGGATCATGGTATCATCTCTTAAAACCATGTCTCACCTATCTGGAGAGTCCTTGTTAACACAGTTCAATGGATTTTTCACACCACTGATTCTGTTCAAGTTTTAGATCTATAATTCTACCTACTATGATATACTTAGCTACACAACAATACCTATTACATACCTCTCTTTGTGTATTAGCTTTGTGAGGAAGTATTTTTAATTAAAGAAATTCACTGAGGAGTTTAGAGAAGAAATATGAAGACACAATGATTTAATGGATTTTGTTGTTTTTTTTTTTAAACAAAACAGAAACAATAACCTCCATTCTGTATAAAGACACGGATTTTATGGATGATCTTTTATACCTCTTATCTAACAGCACAAGAGAGTATGGCACACTCACTTACATCACATAAAGTGATTGCACTTGCCTACATAGCTGTTTTTTTCCCCATCCATTTCAATCAGAAATCTGCTCTGGAATAGGAGCCAACCATCCTGTTTCTGTGTGATCTGCAGCTGTTGCGTGTGACACCCATCACAGCTCTTCTGTAGCTGAGCGCTGTGGTGCCTCTCACAAATCTGTTTCCCCCACAAATGGCTTTAGCCACCCTGTTCTGCGCACCTGCAGACTATGTTCATTAGAAACAGTAGGCCTGTGGGGAGAAAAAGAATAAAGAAACAAATAGATTGATATGAGTGATTTGAGGAGGGAAAAAAACACCCTGCTGTGCAGATTCTTAAGCTTACATTACTGCAAATTTGTGCTCTGCCTTTGTAAAAGAAAAGCATCAGTGTCTTAATAACAACATATGACAGGCTTAAGAAAAGGAAGGACAAGATTTTCTTGCCATCTTCTCAGCAGGTGTAGGCAAAATGTGTTTGTCCATGCTGACCAGTCATTACCTGAGCAAAGGTTGGCTTGGCAGTGGAACATATGTGTGACAGATAATAAATGAAGCAGGCCAAGATTTGAAAGCAACTCAGACTATTAAATAAGTGATGCCTGTCAAAGCCATCATCAAAGCTTTCTAATAACAAGAAAAGGCTGCATATGGTAATCTTAGGGGAAAAAAAAAATTAAACAAACTTTTGGACAAAGAGGTAGATAGTCAGTAGTGAATTAAATCCAGCTGCACAGAGAAGGTAAATGAGAATCAACCTCAGCTGCACTGGATTTCCATACATATCCAGAATTCAGTTTAAGTTTCAGGCCTAGCTGTAATGCAATTTGCTGGGTGCATCTTATTGTCCTTGACTAAATAAATAAATAAATAAAATAAACCACATTTGTTCTGCTTTAACTTCAAGAATATGTTATTGGCATGCTTACACAGTGTGACAGAGCTAGACTAATCACACACAAAATATTAAGATAGATGCTGAACAAATGTGCTTGCCTCCCAAAATGCAGTGGCTGTATGATGTTTTAAGTGGGTTTGATTGTGGTGATGTTAAGCTTGCTTAATGTTTCCCACTTGAGTACTGTGTTCTGTTGTCAAATCCATGCTGAACTATTACCTTTTCATTCAATAGCATAAATACAGTCATAGGATACATAGTCCAACAAACTAAGTAATACTATATTGTTTGCATTATTAAGATTTGTATGTGAACATAATTCAGTGTTGTCATAATCATTCTATCAGTGTTTTATGTATTCCCAATTTTAACTCTTATAATTTTTTTCTTAGTTTGTCATTTACACATTCCTTCCTACTCATTAATGGTATTCACTTAATGCATTTCTTCTAAGTAAAATGTTTAATGACTTAAAACTGAGAGGGAAGAAATTATGAGTGGAACAAAATGAGACCTTTCCTGAATAAAGGGACTCGGGATGCCAGAGGATCCAAAATACCTATTGTCTAGGGAACAAAGTGATTTATAATATATGCTGAATGAATTCAGGGTTTGAAAATGAGCAGAGGAATAGGCTGATTGTTCCAGGACTACTTCTATTAAGAAATCTGGCATTGCACTGCACATATGGTGCATGTTTAAATGGTCCCTGTTTGCTGTATAACTAGCCTAGTCCTACAGTGCAGCAGGCTTTTCATGAAGCTGTGGCAGCTGAGGAGTAATGGACAGACAGTTGTCATCTAGATCAATTCTTCCACTATCAAGTGGTTGTTGTTGTTTTTTTTAATTTTTTTTTTTTTTTTTTTACCTTTAACCAGATCTGGAAAGGGCATTTTTAGTGGAATTAAGTTTAAATATTATATAAAAATAAGACTTACCACTTTTTTTTTTTTTTCTTTAGAAAAGAAAGAAAGAAAAAAAAACTTCTGTAATTTCTTTCTAAGGAAAACTAAAAATGAGATTACAGTTGCACTAACCATTAAGCTGAAGTCATTTGTTGCAAGCAGATGGCTAAATCTAGTCTCTAATAGATTAGTTAAATACAAATCATAACCACTCAAAAGTGATTTTGCTTCAGGAGCAAAGTTGTAGTTATTTAATCTCAGAATCAGTTCAGGACATCTACACTAACTGAATAGAACATGCACCAAGTTACCTGACCTACAAAAAGTTAACTTAACACCTGTGTGGTGAGTAAGAAATGTTTCAAGAAACATCTTTGTATTCCTCCTCTTTCTAGAGTTGAATTGATTCATCAAGGGTTTTTAGGTTGAACTCTGTCTTGCAGTCCCAAAGCCCACCAGGTTTTGCACCTAGAACCATTTTTTGGAAGACCAGAGCACTAGCAGTTTTCCTTTCAAATGTGCCTGTGAAAATGAAACCATATGATTAAGATTTTATTGTTGGTTTGGTTGGTTTATTTGAATTTTGCTTTTTGGTTACTTTGTTTTGTTTTTCTATGAGATATAGGTGTAAGCCTTCTGAGGATGAGCAAATTCAGCACATTTCCTATTTGTAACAAGTACTCTTCCTTTTAGGATGCTTAACCCTCCTTCTCTTACATTCATTCCCAAAGAATACTCTGCTATATTTTCACTGGGAGTAAATTCTTTTTGTATGTTATGTATGTTTTCCATCCACTGATTGCTCCCTTCAGGATTTAAGGAATCCTCTGCATAATTTTTGGATTCCTGTCAGGTTTAAGACAAAGTAAATGAACTGCTAAAACTGGAATGGTTTTGAACATGCTCTGAAGCAGACTCCTATAGATCCTGGAGGAATTAGACTAAGTCAAAAAAAGAGATGCCTCTGTAGTTAGATAGTAGGGAAGCTGGAGCTTTTTGAATTACAGTATTAGTCTTTTCCCCAACTGCAGTTAAATTGAGGGAAGAGGGGGTGGATTTGTGCTTTGTTTTTAAGATGTCAGGCCTTTAGTGTTTTTCAAAATAGTGCCCAAAAAGCTGAGGGACATAACATGTAAATTGGCAGACAGAAAGAGAACACTGGCTGCAATACATTTGTTTCAGAAAAGATAGATCAAGGACATGAAACAAATCGTATTTATACGTAAAGGAAATAAAAATCAGCTTGCATTTTTTTTTCTCTGGGAGACTGTCATCCCCCCACCCCCCCAATATTCTTGAAAAATAACTGTTTCTGTTCTATTTAGCTCAAATGTTTTAGAAGGAGAAAGGCAGAATACATCTTCTTTTGTCAAGGAAATTACAGATAACAGTTTCAGTCTTGGAGTAATCTTTTAAAATTGTCCATGGTCAAATTCAACAATGCAACCTAGCCCAGCCAAGTACTTCAGTATGCATGTAATTTTATTCACTTACTTAAATCCCTCTGACTTCAAGAGGATTTGAGCAGTGCTTAAGTGCTTTGCTGCAACAGTGCCCTAAATTGGTAGATGGCAAATTTTAGACACAGAAAGGAAGGCCACAGGTTTTGCAATTTCTGTTTGTAGGTGCCTAAAAGATTGGTTTTATTTCTTCAGATGATCCTGTAATTCCTAGTGCTTCCAATTTACTTTTACTCTTTTGAGGGTTTTTTGTTTTGTTTTGTCTTCTTCAGGTCCTCAGTTGTACACCATTCCCAAACAAACAACCAAAGAAAACAGATAAAAAAAAGCAAGATGAACTTGAATGAAGAAATATTCTAGTGGAGCTTGAGTAATCCATATTTTAAAAATTACAAGTGTCACGGGTAATTTGAAGGCAGATCAAGCATCTTCTAAATCAAAATGGATGGACCTCACTAGAAAATACTACCAACAGTTATAAAGGTAAACAGGAACAATTTCCAATAGTTTATTTTTGAAAGCAGTTAGTTGTTAACCCTATCAAAAGTAAGTTATGATTTTGAAAATGTCACATATCTTCTTTTTGTTTGCTTCAGTTTACGTAGATGTTATCTTCTTAATACGATGACTGCTCTTTAATATTGATCGTCATTGCACTTCACTGGCAAAAATAAATCACAGGGTGTTAAGATGATTAATGTAACTGTCAGGAGAAATATTAATAAATTTATCTGACCTACCTCACATGCAAAGACATAATATATATCAGGGTTTATGTGCTTCATTCACTTTGCAAAGCACAGCCTCTGACTTAAGTGAATGTATGCTAAATTATCAATGTGAATAGAAAGGGAAAGAGGAAAAAAACAAGCTGTTTTTTTTTTTTTTTAATTTTAAATCAGTCTTTAGAAACAAATCTTTTTACCATATGTTTACACAAAACATAGTTCTCATCCTGATTTGAAGTTTTGAACAGCACAGGAGTTATTAATTAAATTTTTAATAATTAAAATCAGTTTCTGTGAAAAGAAAATCCATGGATCAGAACAGAGGGAGAGGTGATATTGCAGTATCCTTTGAGCAAACCTAAGCTTTGTGCCTTTGCTCTTTTCCCCATTGATTAGAACAAACTTTCAGCACAAACCCAAGTTTGTTCATCAGTCAAGGAGCATAAGTATCAGACAGCTGTGTGGAATCACTGCTGATCAGACTTTGCCTGTTGGAACCTGTTCTCAGCAATGTATTCTGGGAGGCAAAATTTCTCTTCTTCAGTGTGCATAATGCAAATAGAGGACTCAGTAGCTGTATGAAGAAAGTATGCAGCGCGTTTCATTTCAAATTTTTTTTCACAGTATTTTCAGCTAAGTAAGGAACTTTAACAGAAAAAAACATCTTTAGGTCCAACATCATGTGGCATACCTTCCCTCCATCATTTCCTAAGCTCTAAGAGTTGGGCATATACAACAAAGATATTCTTTGTCCTCTTTCAGCAGACCTCTAATGTGTAAATATAAGATGATAAGTGCAATTCAGAATAGTGCCATTTTTGTTTTCCTTCTTTTTCCCCAATGACTTATTCACCCAGACATTGCAACTAGTTAGTGAGCAGAAGAGTTGAGTAACTCTGGTTGTGCATTTCATATAGTTTTAATGGTTTTAGTCTCCTAGATGGGTGTATAAAACTCTAAAGAATTTATCTGGATAACACTTTGAAAGCAGCTTTTCTTCTTTGCTGCTTTGAAAGTTGTTGATAGTGTGGAACACTTCTAAGCACTTGTTTGAGTGCTAGAGCTTTTTGTTTCCAGTAAAAAACTGATGGAGATCAACACTTTTTTGACACTCCTTGTACCAAGTGCTTATAAAGTGTTTATATCTATAATTGTGTCAAATTATGCTAATTAAGTGCTGAAAGACACTAGTAAGTTGAAGTACTCAAAAAGTGCATTACTCTGAGTGTCACCCAGGGGCTCTTCACAGCAGACACTTGGGGGACAATTTTTTTCTTTCCAACCACCTTTAGAGCACTTTGTCTTAAAGTGTCTTTCTGACATTAATTAAATTAAAAAGCAAGTGACAGTTAAGTGCATATGATTTACTCTAATCTTTTGAAATGCAAATGTATTTTAGACTAAAATGCCCTTCCTTTTTTACAATTCTCCATTTTCCTCCTCCATTGTCTCCCACACCTTTTTTTATTGAGTAATCAGTTGCTAAAAACAGCTGTGATAAAGGCTGGGAATTAATTCAATTATGAATGATTAGGCAGAAAGATTGAACTATTCAAAGATCAAATAACAATGATAGGGTTTCTAATAACCTTATGAGGAAAGATCATTGCTTAGGGGTAATGCTGTAGAGACCTGTGCTGCTCTCAGATTTTTATCCACCCTGTCTCCAGGGTTACTCATTAATTCTGTGCTGCAGAATTCTAGGGTAGCTGCAGAAGACAAGAGAGATGGTTTTCTTCCAGTGAACAAAGGAGATGTTGGTCATTAGCCATACACTGGTTATGCACTAACAAGTTCTCAAATACTAAGTGTTTGGTCAAGGTGTTCTAGCAAAATGGAAACTTATGTCACGCATTAGATGGTTGAACTCTACTGTTGCTCTAAGATGGAAAACCTTTGTATAACACTATAGGTATTTAGAATGTGAACACGTTAAAAAAAAAAAACTAACTTTGTTTCCAAAGAAAAACTCAGAAACAGCAGTGCAAGGACACCAAAATTTAATACATGTCTTCCCAAAGGATGAAAATAGAATAAAATCTGAAGTCTGATAAAAAAAATAAACAGGCACTTTTAGGAGTGTTATTAGTGAATATCCTACTTCAAGGGTTATTCTGTTGCGTGATAAAATATTTTTGTAGGTGTGCAGATAACAATCCTTATGTTACCTAATTCTGACTAGACTCTATTAAAATGATTTTTTCACTTTTCTGAGAAACTGTATTTAATCCCTATGTCAATGTGCTGAGAAAGATAGTAAAGATATATCTGAACTTTAAACATCTTTAATCTTTCTCTTTAGCTTTCATTCTTGTTGCACAGCCTCAGCAATCAGATTTCAACACTCCATTCCTCAGAAAAACTTACAGATTTAGAAACCATAGGGAGATAAGATTCTCCGTTGACCCAAAGACACATTCTGCTATCTTACATCTTTGGAAAGTCTTTTAAGTAGTGATGTCTATTGAAATTTTCTAAATAGATAGAATTTTATTTGGTAATGAGTAGATAGTATCAGGCAGGTGACTGGATTCTTCAGGGGAATAGAGGTGAGTTGCTCCAGGTAAAGAAACATCCCAGACTGTCCTCACTAGAAACATTATCTGAAAGGTCCTTCGTAGCCTGGAGTTAGTAAACTGAATTGTTCTTCACGTTATTCTCCAGGGAATGATGTTGATCTCACAAGTGTCGCTCTCAATGCAGCAGGAGTGAAGAAGCCAAGAACTCAGTAAACACTGAGCTTGTTTTGCCATTTAAAGGTAAAGTACATTGCCAAGGCATCTGACTCCTTCCCAGTGGTTGCTTACACTGTGCATGTGCTTGAGCAGCTTACAACAGTATGGAAAGCGAAGAGCTTCATGCTCTACAGGTTCCAGTCCCACTCTTACCTGCAGGTTGATCCAGTTATCACTGAAGTCAGTTACCAAGGGACCAATTTAGAGTAAGCTGAAAAAACTCTCCAGAGCATCAATTAAGTGTGGAAATGAAAATTTGAATGGTGATTAGTTTGAACTGTTATTGTCTGTTGCTTGGAAGGAAAGGAATCAGTGATCTAATTGTCTTATATAAAGTTACCTATTGTAAACTGTATCCCTCTTTTCTGTCCTTCCAGCTACTTGATTGCCTATTTATTTGCAATAGTCTTCGGAGGTAATGAACAGATTAAATTTAGATAGAGGGCTCAGATTTACTGTTGGCTCAGCTCTGCTGAAATAAGTGAATTAGCCAGGAGAGTCAAAATACCTTGTGTTCAGCAACCGTAAGCTATCTCGCCTGTTGATGATTTCTAAAATCTCTCCTGTGGATGCTAGTGTGTTTGTAGAATGTAGTTTTAATGGACAATACATAAAGATCTGAAGAGCAGAAAGTACTGAAATATAGAATGCATTATGTTACCTAGATAAAATAATTGTCAGAATGAGCAAAACTAAGCATTTGGAGGAGGGAGCGGGATGATGAGAGAATTATTCTTCCATTGGGGCTGTGTTTCATTTGATTAGTTTCTTGTGTGCTTTTAAAAAAAATATATTATTACTTATTTATTTGAGGTAAACGAAAGCTGAACTGGTCTTTTTAATATGAGATGCATATGATCTATTTAACGTTGTGCATAGTTAGACAAATGGTGTTGGTTACTGCTATATAAATGACTTTGTAATCAAAGCCAACAGATAGCTTCCAGCACTGTTATTGTAGTACATGCTGCCAGTGTTCACTAATTTGAAGGTATGATGGGTTTAAAAATCCCAAATCCTCTGGCAGACCTTAGGACATCTGCTGCTTGTCTGACTAGGAAAAGAGAGACTGATGAATATACACAATTACAGGATCGTTAAGGTCCAGAATGTAAAGCCACAGACATATAAAAAGCTGGACAGAAAGGGAAAAAGGGAAAGGGTAAATTTAAAAAGAATGCTTTCTGTCAGTGCAGAACACAAGAAAGAAGACCAGGGGAGCAAGAGGAATAAACAGCTAACTGCAGGTACATGCAGTTTGTGGTGAGGCATTTCCTGTAGACTGTGTATTTCTGTGTAGCATGAAGGGGTCCTGGGGTATGGCTGTACAAAGCTCTGGTGTAGCAAAAGTGCCACTAAGCATTTAGGCCTTCAACTCATGGTAGCTGAAATGGTGGCATACCTCGGTTTTTATTTTACTTTCCCATTTGCATGAATGTAGCTCTCAATAACAACGTATTATTTGATGTAGCTTATGCTACAGAATTTTTTAAATAAAATATTCATATCTGACACACTTGGCAATTATTTTCAAATGCTGTAAACTTGTATATATCTTCCTTATGCAGTCATAACTCCAGTGATTTGTTTTCCCCTCTGCACCTACAGTAAGTTAGTTTTCATAAGGATGAAAAAGTGCCTCCAGAGACAACACGTTGCTGAGAAGAATTAGACGACCAAAGGTAATAGATCTTTTAATTTAAGATAGGGCCACTTGCCATTTCTGTTCCTTTAAAAAGCAGTCAATTCTAATTATAAAGATTTATCTTGGATTAAGGAAGAGAAATACTAACGTAAGCACTACTGCTTCTAGTATAACTCTAGGGTTAAAGCTTTTCTAAATGGGAATTATGTGCAGTGAGGACAATAAAGTGACTGCCATAAAATTCTGAATTAACTGTTCATATAATAGAATTTTTGTTGTTCTGAAAATGGTTTCCTTTTAACATTATGTTTTAGTTTAGTTTTGTTTGTTTTTTAAATACTCATCACTAATCATCATCTGTGTCAGGGGCAAAAAAAAAAAAAAATGTGAGGCAGAGGGTTTTTGAGAACAATGGATTTCTAACAGTTCTTGTAATATTCACATTCTTTCATAGAATATTGGAATTCCAATGCAAGAACACTGTTGTGATCCATCTTAACTTGAATATTTTCAGAGTCCAAATGAAATAACAAAGGTTTCAATAAAAGCTACAGATCCCCAGTTGAAAAAAATTTTACATGGAAAGAGTAACTTTCAGTACCAGATTCAAAGACAACTGTTGTGTTTCCTCAGTTTCCTCTTTGCCTCACATCCCTGAAGTGTTTTTTATTTTATTATGTCTTCCTTTTTTCTAATAGTGTTTGTTCGCCACATGGGAATTCCTTAGTACTCATCAAGATATCTGGTATCCTTCCTTGAGATATCATTTATTATGGGACTGTTTATCTCTTTTCTTATCTGGGCAACAGATGTGTTGGCCTAGATTTGAAGACTCCATTCTTTTCTGAGCTATCAAAAAATCAATGGAGAGGAATGCGACAACAGAAATGAAACCATGTCCAACAAACAAAGATTCACAGTCGTTGCAACTCTCAAGCTACTCCTTTTGTCCTTGTTACTTGTAGAAAATGTGGACTGACTATATTTAGTATAGTAAAATATTGGTTTGTCCCAAACTGTTTCTGATGTTTCATTGTTATCCATGTGGCGAAAGTGATGGAAAAGCTGTGCTACTACTCTCAAAGATCTTTGTATTAATATTGCACAGCCTGCAATATTCAGCCCTCAGTCTGTTTCTGAGAACTAAAGAGTCAAAGTATGTTTTCAGTATATTTTATTATGGATATCTGTGATCTTACAGTAAAAACTACAAGTCTCTCTTAAAGCATATATTCATAAAATATGAAGCAAGAGAAGACTTTTATCATCCTCTATTTATGTATAACAAAACTCTCTTTATGCTCCTAGCACGAGTATTTTCTGTAATTTCAGTTGAGGACTGACAGATAATACAAGAATTTGGAATTAAAATAAATACCAAGATCTGAATTTTGGTTTTCATGTTTTATGAATTTAGTGTTCTTGAGCTAATATGATGATGATAAGAAGTTATGCATGTCCAATTACGTTATACTTTATTGCTTGTCACCTTATTCTAGTATTTCTGAATACAGATACATCTGGAGTTGCATTAGTTTTCTTAAGAAGATAACCACCACATGAGAAGTCGCCAGGAAGGAACTTTTTTTAAGGGCATCTATATGCACAAAATAAAGCGGTAAATACAAATGAAAGATGAATGTAAAGCTATAGGAGCTACATCTAAAATTACCACAATGCAATATAAATCAACTTAAAATGAAAATGTGGCTAACCTTAACTGCAGTGTTTATTGATGTAGTTTGCTTAGTACAGATGACAGCTGAAAACTTGTTCATGTTCGATTAAATGCAAGAAGGGACATAACAAACAAAGCAATTTAGGAGCCTTGTGGCAGTACAAATATCGTTTTGAATTTTAAGTGTTGGATTTTTGGTATGTTCTTTTTTGTTGTTGTGAAAAATAGACGTATATGTTGTACTCCAACAGTTTGGCCAGAAAATGCACTAAGGATATAAAACTGGAGTTCAGTGTGTCAGTACAGTGTATCTGTAGACTGCACTCTAGTGTTCTGTTAAGCTTCTTTCAAAACATAAGAACAAGAATGAAAACACAGACTTAACAGCATGTTGGAAGGTAATGAGAAGTTTGTAGAATACTTCAGGATCTAAACAAACTGTCCTGAGACCTCCCTTTCTCCAGCACCAACAGATCATCACTGATTACCTTCAGTAAGTTTGCAGATGACACCAAGTTGGAAGGGAGTGTTGATCTGCCTGAGGGGAGAAAGGCACTACAGGGGGACCTGGGCAAACTGGATTGCTGGGCCAAGGAAAACTGTGAGTTTCAGTGGGGCCAAAGTGTTAAAACCTGCATTTTGGTCACAACAGCCCCAGGCAACCGTACAGGCTTGGGGAGGAGTGGCTGGAAAGCTGCCTGACAGAAAAGGACCTTGTTGTACTGATGGACAGTCAGTTGAATGTGAGCCAGTAGTATACCCAGGTGGCCAAGAAAGCCAGTGGCATCCTGGCTTATATCAGAATATGTGATGAGCAGCACTAGGGAAGTAATCCTGTCCCTGTACTTGGCACTGGTGAGGCCCCACCTTGATTGCTGTGTTCAGTTCTGGGCAGAAAGGACATAGAGGTGCTGGAGCAGATCCAACAAAGGGCAACAAGGCACACTGAGGGCTTTGAGAACATGCCCTGTGAGCAGCAACTGAAGGAACTGTGGCTGTTTAGTCTGGGAAGAGGAGGCTGAGGGGAGACGTTATTGCTCTCTTCAAATACCTGAAAGATGACTGCAGTGAGAGCAGGGTTGATCTCTTCTCACTGGTGACAGGTGACAGGATGAGGGGAAATGGCATCAAGTTGCGCCAGGGAAACTTTAGTTTGAATATCAGGAAAAACTTTTTTTAGAAAGGGTTGTGAATCACTGCAATAAGTTCCCCAGGGAGGTGGTTGAGTTATTTAATAGACCAAATTCTCAGCTACAAAACACTATTTTTCAGCACAGTAACAACAATAGCTATGCATTTTCACCAGTTATGAACAAGAGCCTGTATGTCATGCTCATAAAAATCTGCACCAGTGGAGGTGACCCACTAATTCAGTATTTCACCACCAGTTGCCTTGCTGTGCTCTCATCCACTGTTTGATCTCCATAAGTATTCAGCAAGCATTTACGAATGTCAATGGGTGCCATTTTTTACTTGTGGGAGTAACTCAGTGGCATTCTTCTGCTTCACAAACACTTCCATGTCAGGCGCCATTTTGTTAGGCTGTCTGCCCTCTGTCACACAGCAACAAAATACAATAGAATATTGGTGGAAAGGCTCACCCTCTACTGCCATTCCTCCAAAATCTGCCTCTGATGTCATGGGCCACTTATAATAAAATAGGAGGGATCAGAACAGCCCTCATAGGTCATGTTTGTGGGCTTATTTTATGTACTCTGTTGTGTTTTCACAAACTAATGCTGTGTTCCAGTTCCATTTAACGAACTATTTGCTTTCTACAGAAACTTTTTGCTTGCAAGTGGGAATGCATTGCCCAGTGAGTGATCCAGAGAAAATATTTCTTCCCTCTGTTTTAGTGTGGGAATGGGCTGATTCTAATTCCATTTTGTTAAGAACTCTGAGTCCTGAATCTAGCACTTAATGCTATTGAAAACTCCTGACAGAGCACTCAAAATATTGTATATGCTAGAAAAATATTTATCTCCAGTAAGTCATAGTAACTCAAAATTTTGGTCATTAGCAATCTAATTGGAAATCATTATATATCTAAACAAGTAAGTTTTTCAACAAGCCTGAAGAAGGCTTCCAGAGTTAATGAGTGATTCAAGCCACTGCTGATCTGAAAAAAGAATAGTGAATACATTTGCTTAAGATAGGAGTACCAGGCTTTGTTCAGGAGGAAATATCTAACAGGTATCCTGCATTTTACTTCTACGTGTCACTAATAGAATGTGTACAGAGTGTGAAGATTCTGACAAAAATAATGTGACCCCTTTTACCATTTAGAATTTAACACTACTTTCACATGTGTCAAAACATTTCTCAAATTGTTTTGTTTGGTTGGTTGGTTGTTTTTTTTTTGCAGAATATTTCCTTCAAAGCAGTAACTGTTCTAAGTGGGAAATCCCAATCGGATTTAAAATGAACACCATTGATCAGAGACAGGTTTGTTAGTTACTTCTTACATAGTGTAAAGGAAAACTGTCACAGTTCCACTTAAAAAATAAAAGCAATAACAGGCAGCCAGATTCATGCATTTATCCAGCTATTAAAATGAAACTTCCATAGTGGTATATCTTCTTCTGAAACTAGGACATGCTTCTTTCAAAATGCTCCAAGTATCTTTTGCAAAGGAACCAGCCCAAGGTTCTGCAGCAAGCATCCAATATTCTCTTACTCATCTATAACAATGCCAAGAGTAAAAGGGGAGGGGCAGTACTTGGTTATTTTCTTTAACTCAATGATGAATCTGCTTTCAATGTATGTGGAGAACAAAGCAGCTCAGACTCTCTAAACAGAATATTTGAAGGAGTGCCATTGCCCATGCAATTGAATGAGGTAGTGGTAGCCAATACTTACCAAATCTTCAGTTATATCATCCACTCTGAAGACCCATTTCCTCCCCAATGAGATGACAGGATTTTTTTTTTTCTTTAAATTGTTTTTGTTTGTTTGTTTGTTTGTTTTTAAATAAATCCTTCATGGATTAAGCATGTTGCAAATTAACCTCAAAGGAAAATATGTGAAGAGCCACAAGGGCTCCTCTCCTCAGGGTACATAGATGGCCTACAATGCTAGCTGTTTTGTTCTCTGTCTTCTCAAAAGGGTCAAAGGAGTTAGATAATCCCTCTCTGCCATTGAGGCTATACCTGACTTAATGTCACTTTGCAGTGCTGAAACCATCACAAGCATGATCAGCCTGGTTTCAGTTTCTGTCCATTCTTGACATGTAATTCACATCCCGTGGTGGCCAAGATGTTGACTGGATACGGAAACTCGAAGCAGAATTCCTTTCCCCCAGGTGAGTGTTGAAAAAATTGAATTCTGGAGTAATATTTGTTCTTACTTTCCATATTTTGTCCATGGCTTCATAGTTAAAACATAACAATAAGTGATATATGTGTGATTTGCTCATTTACTAAAGTGAAAAAATAGTTTCACTTCAGTGGCAAAATTTTATTCTGATTTTTACCAATTTGACCAATGTTGGTTTTTGTTTGTTTGTTTGTGGACTGTTTTTTGTTTGGTTGGTTTGATTTTTGTGGGCTTTTGTTTGTTTAAATACAAGAACTACTGAGCTTTTCATTACCTGTGTGTTACCAACTTACATCATAACCCAAGAGCACTGTAGTGTTTCTTTTATGATCTGACAGAGCATGGTAAGAGAGGAAGGATTCTGTCTTGTGACTATTTTTCCTTCCACAAAATACAGCTACCTTAAGCTAGGGATGGATCCAAAAAAGATTATGTCGGTAGCTAAGATTGCAAGGTTTAAAATTGAGCGCAAGATATTTAAACTGAATGTGTCTTTCTGTTTGATTTTTTTTTTCCTATAACAAGCAAATTACTACTGTTGGTCAATGTTTCATAAAAAAACTAATGGTAGACATACGAATGTTTCTGTATTTCCGCAATGCTCTTGTACAGCACTTTGCTTTGAAGTTTTTTAACAATTTACTGTTTGGTACTAGATAAACAACACTGGTAATTGTATATGTATTTACTATTCAAAGCTTGCAAATGCCCATATGGTGGATAAATTCTTTCACAAATTTAGTGATGCTTATGTTTGCAGAAGTAAAGAATACAAGCAAGAAAAGAGAGGTATGCATTATGGAATTAAAATTATAAGACATTTTAAGGCCATTAGACTGCAGTTATTTAAGTTGGAATGTGGTTAGCATCTATGCTGTGTTTTAAGTTTACTTTTGCTTTTTGGCATGAATTTGTGTTGACTAAATGCAGTACACATTACCAGTGCAATCCCCACTACAACTACCAAAGTAAATTGATATAATTTGCGGACTCAGCATCTTGGTGGTATTATCATCAAGCTAACATTCTCCCTGTGCTTGCTCCCTCACATATAACAAGAATCCATTCTCAACATATATGTAGTTTCATTGGTAGCATATTAATGCCCAAGTTGTGTATGATTTCTGATACAAGAATAAAACAGGTATGCTTCTTGTTACAAAGCAGGACAATGATTTCCATGAC